CCCATTTCTTACCACTGTAATAAGACACTTTCCAAGGGACCAACCAGCTACAAACCCTGGATGGGACGCTGAGCTGGATCTGGCCCATGTGGTCTCCTCCCTGCCCCTGCTGAGCAGAAGTGCGAGGGTCCCTTACCCTGATGCAGCGGCCCAGGTAGTTGAAGACAGTGGCCTTTAGCGTGAAGGCCTCACCGCGCACTACGGAGTAGGGCAGGGTGAGCTCCAAGAAGAAGGGCTGGAAGGCTCTGAGGGACACAGTCGGGGACAGGCCAAAGCCAGTGTCGCTCGAGGTGCAGAAGGTGTTGGCTTTCCACTCTGTGATGGTGTCGGGGATGGTCAAGGCCAAATCAGCACTTCCCTCTGAACTGGTGAGAAAACAAGAATGAGGTGATGGGGCGGGAGGGGGGGGGGGAGGTTGTGTACCTCTGGCAGAACATCGTGTCCCTCATAGTATCTGAATTGCCCTCCTCAACTTCTGTAGCTGCAGGGTCTCCCGGGAGCACTGGGCATGTCCATGCGGGTTGGCTCTTGTAGACTCGCTGCAGAGCAATTCCTCCCATCCCAGCCTACATTCAGCTCCATAGAACAGTCATCCAACTAACAAGACTGGCGGGTGGGGGGGTGGTTTGAGAAAATCCCTCAGACACACGGATACAGAACAGGGATGAGGTGCATAGCTCATAGCACTGTCTCTGCCAGAGCTGGGACAAAAACCAATGACACCTCCCTCTGACACACACACTCCCTGCAGAGGCAGGTCAATTAATAGGGGATTGTCCATTGTGATCCACACAATGAATTGCCTCTCAGTTACAGAGAGGAGAGGGAGTGGATGTGGTACATTAGAATTAGTTACTTCCTGCCTTCCCTCCAGCTACCCATCCACCCCTCACCCTTATCTCTGGTCGATACTGCACCTGTCACAGAAGGATCAAAGCACCTCCAATGGCATGTGAATAACTTCTTCTGAGTGTCTGTGCAGCCCACTTGACCACATTCCCCACATCCCATAAACATCACTTACTTCACTGGAACTAAATCCCAAATCCACGTCTCCGGGAAGTACTTCCGGATGGTCTCCACTGGGCCAAGAGTGCCAGTATCCAACCTGAGATTATGTAAGCCACCTCTTCCATATGCGTGCCTCGCTTCAGATGTTGGGGGAGGGAAGGGATCAAAAGGTGACATGTTAGACCTCGTTCTATACCAGGCCCAGGTCCACTGATGTGAGTGCGTCTGTTTTGGATGCGGGGGGCAACGAGGGCAACTTCCCCAGGGCCTACCAATTGAAAATTACTCCCGGCTGCTGCTGCTATTGCTGCTGGAGCCCAGTGGTGATGGGGACAGGATGAGGTAGGGCCTTGCAGAAGCAGGAGGGGGTAGGAAGAGGTGGGTCCCTTTCCTGGGCCACGGGTGGTGTGGGAGGAGTCATGTTGGGGAGAGTCATTTGGCTGGTTTCCAGCTTGTGTCCCTCCCCAGGTGTCATCACTGGTCCAGTGGATAGAGACAGTCACCCTGGTGGGTTCTTGTGGCAGATCCCCAGAGTCCAGTGGGGTCACAGCTACACTGCCCGGGGCCCTGGGTCCAAGTACTGAGTGAGTACAATTTGTGCACAGGCAAAGCTGAGGTTGGGCTGCAGCCTAAGTCAGGGCTACTCCATATGTGGCCACGGATGGGAGAGAAAACAAAAAAGGAGTCGCTATAATGGCCTTCTGTTGGTATGCATTTTAGTAGTTACATCCCTGGACTCATCTCCAGTTATATCCCCAGCTCATAACTCTGGTCATCTGAAGAAGTGGACTGTGCCCACAAAAGCACATGATCCCATCTACATGTTTTGTTAGTCAATAACATGGGTTCCCAAACTGGGGGGCGTGAAGAAATTCCAGGGCGGGGCATGAGGTGACCCAGTCCCCTCACCAATCCTCCCCCAAGTTTTGCTGCTATTTTTGTTTTTTGTCCCCGATCAGTTCCTTTTTTTCCCCCCCTCAACAAGTTTTGCTGCTATTTTGGGAGGGAGGGAGCATGAGGGTTTCTCAAAAATCAGAAAGGGGATGTGATGCTGAAAAGTTTGGGAACCACTAGTCTGTAAAGTGTTACCAGACCATTTGTTGTTTTTTTCTGTAACAGACTAACTTGGTTACCCCTTGAAATTCCTGGACTGTCATTGCTCATTAAAAGTGCTGTCCTATGGGTAAAAATCAGGTAAATATTGCATTGTATTAATATCAGCAGAACTGACTTAAATGGGGCCTGCATGTTGGTAAGTCTTGCCTTCATTTTTGTATTGATGCCTGTCAGTGTGAAAGACATTATTTGCATATATTTGCATATATATTTGCATGTATACGCAATCATACTTAAGTTGTGGCCCTCAGCATGTGCTGTATCATTGTGGCCCCCGGGGCTTCCAAAGTTGAGTAGCTCTGGCCTAAATTAAAGCTCTGGCTCAGCCTGCAGAGTACACGTCCCAACAACCTCCTCTTTGAACTTGGCCTTTTTTTGCTTAGTTTTTCCTCTGGTGCTTCCTACGAAATGGGAGCCTGGCTGTGGAAATGAGCCTGATCCAGGTCAGAGAGCTGCAACCAAACTCAACAAGAGTTAGCAGCTGTTTTGCGCCAGCGGTGCACAGGCGCATGAGGAGGTGTCAGCTGCCACTGCAGCTACAACAATGCTCATGTCCTCAGCCCACGAGCAGGCAGGGGGAACTGGACCAGATTCCTATTTCAGGACTGACTGTTGTGGGGTTTGGCCAGCACAGCTGAGAACAGAGTCTGGTCCAGTTGGTCTAGTTTCCATGCAGAGGAGAGGCTGAAAGGGAGGGGGGAAAGAAAAGCAAAGAGGGTGTAAGCAGGGTGAAACAATGCCATTACCATATTCCATAGGAGCATAGAACCTTTGCGGCAGACAGAGGTTGGGCTTATGGACCTTGGTGCTGGTGAAGACTTTTAACCCCATCTCCTGTAAGAAGATAACCCAGACAGCCGTGTGAGAAAGGAAACCTTACATCGGGAGGTCAGTGACCGCCGGGACAGGATCAGGATGTGATGGGCTTATCACAGTGGGTCACTGCAATGGGCAGACAGTGATGCCTACTGGTATCACAGAAGCCTAAAATGTCAATGCCAGTGAGGCTAGTGGGGAACCAAGGGCTGGATTTATGTCATTTAAAGGCACCAGTCCAGCAGCTCCAGACAGCCATCCCCTGTGGCCTCACAGCAGGTTTATTCAAGGCATCAGCAGTGCAAGCTTCTTCCAGGCACTCAGCTGCTGCTGGCTGGCCAAGGCCCTGCCCTAGAGGGAGTTCAGTCTCTCTGGCCCAGTCCTTCCCCTGCCTCGCTGCAGAGACACCTAATGCGCACTTGGCTTTAGGAGTGAGTCCCACTGGGAACAAACTGGAGAGCCTGCAGGACACCAAACCCTTGCCAGGTGGGCTGGGCGCTGCCTCAGAGCAGCACTCCATGTGCACATGCATGTCGATAAAATGGGGGTCGGCCCATGGAGAGGGGATAGAGAGTGTGTGGGAGAGAATCTCTGCCTCTGCAGCCATTTTGTCAAAGTCGCCCCTTTCTGGGTTCTGTTGCTTTGCTTCCACGGTTAGGACATCCCCTTGTCATGTGTAAGTTAGTGATGGGGAAAGGAGCATCCAGTTCCTACAGCTGGGGGTTTCCATCTAGGCTTTTCCCTGCAGCTTTAGTTATTACCTCCAATGTATCAGTTCACAGGCATCCGGATCAGAGGCTATGTCGACACTGCAATGCTATTTCCGGATACCAGAGGTGCCCGGACTATCTACCCTGTGTCTTTTGAGTGCATCCGCTATATCGAAATATAGTGGACGTGCTATTTCAGCATCCCCGTAAATCTCGTTCCACGAGGCATAAAGGATGTCTTGAAATAGTGCTTTATTTGGAAATTTGGTGCTGTGGAGACGTGCCAAATTTTGAAATAGCCTAATTTGAAAAAGAATCAAAATAAGAGATGCAATTTGCGTAGCACAAATTGTGTATTTTATTACACGCTAAGAGTGCAGCATAGATGCACCCACACAGAGTCCAGTGAGGAAACTCTAAACCAACAGCAATTTCAGACACTACCGGGAGGCCTGGCGCTCACCTTGAGAATGTGGAAGGCATCCCCTTCCCCGTCAGGAGAAACGGGCGTGTAGATGAATCCATTTAAAATGACATTGCTGAGACTCACACAAGGGTTTTCGTCTTCCTCCTCCACATGGTGCCCCCTGTAATCATAGCCCCTGATGTCCTTCACCGGGAGTAAATCGTACACCTGCAGGGACACGACTCGATGGCAGTGGCCACAGGCCCAATAATGACAAACCAGCATACGCCACCCTACTATCTGGTGAGGAAATTCTAAACCAACAGCAATTTCAGACACTACCTAGTGATCACAGACAACTTTACACGAACACACCCACGTGTGCAAGCCCAGTGCCCAAGGGTGACCCTACAATAATAAACCCTACAGTCAGAGCAGCATGCTCGCTGCTGCCTTTTCCATAATAACCAAGGGCTGCCCTGTGGCGCCACAATAATAAATCAGGACGTGTGGTTGTGTCCTCACACCAGGCCCCAGAACTAAACACCATGGGGTGCAGCAACAGTTTTCACGAGTGCCCGACATAGATCAACCTGCAGTGCAGACCCTGTGCTGACAAGGGGCACCCCAGTACCAGACAGACTGCGCTGCCCTCAGCCTCACACGTGATTCTCTGCACTCTCCAGACACCACCGGCTCTTGTGCCCTTTGATCACCGGACCAGGCTGGGACTTACAGAGCTGGGCGACAGCTCGGCTTCAGGCTTCATGAGGAGAACGCTCTTGTCCACAGCTCGGACGGCGCACAGGGAGCCCGGGGAGGCTCTGACCTGTAGGTGAGCATCAGAGGCTGGGAGGCCCTCGACTGGTGAGAAATGCAAGTCGACCTGCAATGCCAGGAAAAGTCTTAGAGGAGATATTTCTCCAGATACCTTTCCACACTGCCCCACAGCACAACCCAGACCTGGAACTGCCTCACACAGCCCTGCCCGTGCCCCTCAGACCTGCCCTGCAGCCCCCTGCTATTCCAACCCTGGGCTCCCCTCACAGCCCTGCCCGTGCCCCTCAGACCTGCCCAGCAGCCCCCTGCTATTCCAGCCACGGGCTCCCCTCACAGCCCTGCCAGTGCCCCTCACTCCTGATGAATACAATTCAAAGATGACGAGCAGCTCCCCCTATATGTTAGTTCTGCTTGCACCTTCCATAATTTTGCCCATGCAAATTAGTCCTGAAGTGAGTTCATCTCTCATATTTAGTTGCTGATCCTTGGTCAGGGCCTGACAGGCTCATGGAGCTAGTGAACGTTTCCTGAGTTTCCTGTTTAGTTTGCCATTCTAGGTTTTACAGACGGGCCATGGTCCATGGGGTGAGTGTGAGTCGCAGATCAGGATGCTCACCTTATTGGCAAAGCAGTTTTCAATCTTGAAATCTTCCGAGTTGGCGACAACTTCCCCGCTGGGTAACGTGGTGTATACAAGTACCCGGGCCAGGGGGGCGATCTCGGGCCCCACGGGGACCCTCAGCTCAAATACCTGGACAACTGGCAAACAGAGAGCCAAGAGGATGAGAATGAGCTCCAGGACCACACACTTCCCTAGGCTCCCTCATCACGTCTGCAACATCAGCCACCCTGAAAAGTGCTTTAAACACAGCGTCATGGGGTCCCTCCCCTATGCTTTATGAAAATTGGCTTTTGGATATGAATATATGTAACTCAAAGATGTTTTATGCAAAATGCATCATGCAACATGTCACTTTTAAAGTTACAATCTGCTGAATCTGAATGTCCCATTTTTTGTGCATGTATGATTCTTGTTCTGCTTGGTCCACCTTTGGTCTGCTCTTTCTCCTCCCCTCCCTACTTGCCTTTTCCCAGCATTCCCCAGGGCAGCACTGCTGAGAAGTGGCACCACACAGGCTGGAGCCAAGTGGCTGTGCCTTCCCCACTGCCTGTGAGAGAAGGGAAGGAGGGATGGAGGAAGGGGGGTGCCACACTATGGAGCAGACTGAGACGCCTGACGGGCTGGCCCTCCCATTTGGGGCGGGAGGAAGCACTCACACACTCCTTATGTATCCCTGTGTGTCATCACTGTTCTTGTATGTGGAATTAGGAAAATGAAGTGTGAATCTGGCTTGAATTCTGAATGTGGTAATGAGCACCATCAGGGATACTTTAGGAACATAACGGCTCAGTACTCAAACCAATGACCAGTGAAAAGTCTTGTTTGTCCTGTAAGCCCAAACTATGATTGATCCTAGAAAGACATGTGACTACCTCCTACTAGACTCCATCTTGAATCTAGTACTTTTCCATGGGTTTGGGTAGCCTAAATGAAGGGTCCCCACCCTGGGGGAAAGTGTATTTTAAAAACTGAAATTTGTCAGGTCTTTGTCTCCAGCTTGCCTGTGAAACTGCCTACTCCATGCTAATAGGATACACATGAAGAAACCTAGCAACAAAGATCTCTGAAAAAAGCTGTAGACCTAGACCAGAATAACTGTTTAGGATAAGAATTTGCATGTAACAAGTTTCTTAGTGGATTAGAATTAGCTGGCATCTTTAGTAACTTAGTTTGATCTTTTTTCACTTGCAATCACTTAACTCCTACTTTTTATACTTAATAAAAATGCATTTGTTTATTATCAAGCCAAGTGTAAATAATTATTACCAGGGTGGGCTTGTGCCTCTCTCTCTTTCATTGATAAATGGTACTGATATTAGGAGCTTTCTCTGTGTAAAACTTTTACACAGAGCAAAATGGATTGATTTGGGGCCTTGGTCCTCTTTGGGGTCTGTGTTCCTGGGTGCTGAGCCCTTATAGTTAACCTCTCTCAGAGCTGAACAGGTTCTGTTTTGCTCTCCTGGGGGGCAGTAATCCTAATTCTGTGCCTTGGTTGGGAGGAGACCAGAGGATCTGGTCCAGCAAGACAGGATGGTGGGGAGCCCCATAGGGCAGGAAGGCAGGCATCGGTGGCTTGATCAGCACAGCAAGATTTAGGTGATCAAACCCCAAGCATTTAGGGGATCAAACCCGTAATACATGACTAAGAATTCTGGTGCACAGCGGAGCCCCTTGACTCCTACTGCAGACGCCTGTGGTGGGATATGCAGGAGAGGTAGATTTGGTGGAAAATCCAGCGAGAGTCTGGCACTGTCCTCCTGGAGCCCCATGCAAATGAAAGCAAGGAGAGGAGCTCATGCCGTGCAGTGACTCGGTGTGGAGGGTTGTGCCCACAGGGCTATAGAGGGGGTGGGATTCCACACTCTTCTGCTCATCCCAGTGGAATTTGTCCAGCCAGCCCGAATGAAAGTGGGAATCTCTTGACACTGCCATTAAGGAAATGAGTCGTCCTGCAGCACCTTAGAGGCTAACAAAAATATATTGTTAGGTGCTGCAGGACTCCTCTGAGCCTTTTAAATTGCAAGGCCACCATTTCAGATTTTGGTAGCAGGGGCTGCTCTATGCAGAGGCTTCAGCAGTGTTACTGAGCATGCTCAGTACAAGCCAAGCACCAAATGGGGGAAGGAAATCAACTACACCCCCCCACACACACACCCCACCTCTATCCAGGGCTACTAAGGCAATGGAGAACTCTACTCTGTTTGGCAGACAACTTAGCAGTTAGCCATAAAATATAATGTCTATTCTTACTTTGGGTATGTCTACACTACCCCACTAGTTCGAACTAGCCGGCATTTAAAAATGGCGCTGGCCGGCTTCATGGAAATGAAGCCCGGGAAATTCAAATCCCGGGCTTCATTTGCAACTGTGGATGACTACATTACCCCTGCTAGTTCGAACTAGCGGGGTAGTGTAGACATACCCTAAGTTACTAACTCTGGGGAGAGGCAGACCCTGTCAGGGCTCCTGAGCTCTCTCAGCTCTGGAAGGGGTGTGGGGTCTGTTGGGTTATACCAAGGGAGCAGATATATTTCAGCTCTATATAAGAACATCAGAGGTCCTTCTAGGCCTGTATCCTGCCTTCCAACCATGGCCAATGCCAGGTGCTTCAGAAGGAATCAACAGAAGAGGCATCATCATGATCCATCCTGTCACCCATACCAGCTTCTGGCAAACAGAGCCTAGGGACAACCTCCCTGCCCATCCTGGCTAGTAGCCATTGATGGACCTACCCTCCTTGAACTTATGTTGTTCTTATTGGAGCCCTGTTATAGTTTGGGCTTTTCCACCATCTTCTGGCAAAGAGTTCCACAAGTTGACCGTGAAAAAATAATTGTTCATTTTAAATTGTTGCCCATAAATTTAAATGGGTGAGCATCTTCTGTTATGTTAGTGAAGAAATGAATATTTCCTTATAATTTTCCACATCACTCATGATTTTCTAGACCTCTAACACATCCCCCACCCCCTTAGTCATCTCTTTTCCAAGCTGAAAAGCCCCAGTTTTGTTAATCTCTCTCCATATGGAGGCTGTTCCTTACCCCTAACTATTTCTCTTGCCCTTCCTGTACCCTTTCCAAATATGAAATACCTTTTTTAAGGATTTTTTTAGATGGGGTAACGAAAGATGTGGGCATACAATGACTTTATACAGAGGCAATATGGTATTTTGTGTTATCTATTCCTTTCCTAATGAGTCCCAATATTCTGTTAGCTTTTTAGTTTTTAGACTGCACTGCACATTGAACAGATGTTTTCAGAGAACTAGCCACAATGATTCCAAGATCTCTTTCTTGAGTGGTAACAGCCATTTTAGATTCCATCATCTTGCATGTGCAATTAGAATTTTATTTTCCCATTTGCATTATTTTGCACTTATCAACACTGCCTTTATGTTGCCCAATCACCCAGTTTTGTGAGATCTCTTTTTAACTCTTTGGGGTCTACAGTGACTAATCCAAAGCTGAATGCATTTTCAAGCTTCAGGAAGTTGCCGAATTAATCTGTACAGAATAAACTTAAAAACAAACAGACAAATGGTCTGGTAGCACGTATAGACTAACAAAACATGTAGATGGTATCATAAGTTTAAGAGCAGTTTTTATTGTTAGTCTCTAAGGGTATGTCTACACAGCAGCATTATTTTGAAATAACTGAAATTATTCGGAAATAGCATAGAGCGTGTCTACATTACAAGCCTTTATTTTGAAATAAAGTCAAGCTGGAGGGCTTCTTATTCTGACTCCTGTAACCCTTATTTCACAAGAAGTAAGGAAAGGCAAAGGAAGAGTGTTCTTCCTTCAACTTCCTGCTGTGTAGATCATGCCAATAGCCAAATTAAGCTATTTAGACATCTACATTAATTGCATACCTTAAGTTGTGTAGCTTAATTCAACTTTAAACCTGCTGTGTAGACATTCCCTAAGGTGCTACAGGACCACTTCTTTTTTTAAGTTTTAAGTTTAACAGCAGTGATTCAAATGCAAATACCAGTAGCACAACATTCATTCATATTATTTTTTTCTACTATCTTTTACAGCAATGTTTTCATGATGATATAATGATCCTTCGATTACTTGCATGCCCAGAATTTTGTTGTTCTTAATCTCCCTTTCTCCCTCTTTTCATAACTCCCTGCCCCAAAGCCAAAGATGCAAGCAGCTCAAACTCTGTTGCAGTTAGGACCTGCCTCTGGAGTCAGGTCACGTAGCTTGAAGCAGAGCTTAAATATGAAATCCAGAAGTTTAAACTTGGGCCTACTGCCACCCTGGTCCTCCATAAATGGCTCCCTTGTTAAACTGCCATTAAGGAAATGAAATCAGTTGGGGGGATTGTAAGGTGTCCAAGAGAGCCAAAAAAGAAAAAGTGTAAGAGAAAAAGTAAAGAGGAGAGAAGGCTGCTAGTTTGGGCATCCCTTTCAGAGACAGCCGCTCACTATACCAGCACAGACAGTGAATGGGGTGGCACAAGCTCACAATAAGAACAGGCTGAAATTTTTCAGGTGCATTTTTTCTGTGGTGAAAAGTGCCGACTGAGGGAGACCAAAGCATTTCACATATTTAGGTTAAATTCACCAAATGATTTTGGACAGAAACAAAATTAGAACGAATGAGAAGGTTTGTTTCAGCACTTCCTAAACAAAAGGTTCAATTTTTCAATGAAACTGAAAAGCTGTTTTGAAATTTCCCTTCAATTCTATTTACAAAAGAGATTAAAGCAACTCTAAAGAAAAGTGAAATGATTCAGTTGCCCCCAAACAATTGGGGTTTTTTTGGGGGCGGGAGGGACGGGGGCTTCTGTTCAGCCAGTGACCCGGCAACTCCTTTATTCACACGGCTCTACTCACGTTCCCCATCCCCCACAGGATGCTCCTCGGTGCCTGCACTCACGATGCCTCCCTTGGCCATCACCTGCCAGTAAGAAGAAAACTCCTGTCACAGGGACCTGGTGGGGGATGGGGGCAGGATGCTCACAGGGAAGGCTGGGCTGGGGCTGAGGGTCTGTACTGACCCCCGGAGTCTCACAGAGTCCCAGACCCAGACGGGACTTTACTGGGACCTGGACCAAGTCAGAAGTTCTCTCTCCCAGCAGAGGCCGTTCACTCCCTGGGCAATTCTGCATTTCCCTGCGTGGCTTTTACACGTAACTGTCAAGTCAAGTGAACCTGCCCTCAGGGTAGTTTGGTGACATGGGACATATATGGATGTCTGGCCTCCAGTGCTGTGTCCTGTGTCAGGAGGTAAAGGTCTCCAGGGGTCTGGGTTCTGCGTCCTGTGTCGCTGTGTCCTGTGTCAGGAGGTAAAGGTCCCTGGGGGTCTGGGTGCTGTGTCCTGTGTCAGGAGGTAAAGGTCCCTGGGGGTCTGGGCGCTGTGTCCTGTGTCAGGAGGTAAAGGTCGCTGGGGGTCTGGGTGCTGTGTCCTGTGTCAGGAGGTAAAGGTTCCTGGGGGTCTGGGTGCTGTGTCCTGTGTCAGGAGGTAAAGGTCGCTGGGTGTCTGGGCGTTGTGTTGTGTGTCAGGAGGTAAAGGTCGCTGGGGGTCTGGGCGCTGTGTCCTGTGTCAGGAGGTAAAGGTCTCTCTGTGTCAGGAGGTAAAGGTCCCTGGGGGTCTGGGCGCTGTGTCCTGTGTCAGGAGGTAAAGGTCGCTGGGGGTCTGGGCGCTGGGTCCTGTGTCAGGGGGGTAAGAGCGCCG